AAAAAAAGTGTACTAAGAAATAACGATTAAGGAAATGGAGAAAAATCTAATGGAACTGTGGGGCACTCATGCAGCATTGTAGGATAAGCACTGGACTGCTAACTACAAAGTTGGTGGTTTACTCCCACTAGTCACCATTCAGAAACCATATCAGGGTTGCTATGAATGAGAGTAGACATGATAGCATGCAACTACAACAATAAACAAAGAGGAGTCTTAATGGTGCTGTAGGATAAGCACTGGACCGCAAGCAAGCAGCTCAAACCCATGAAGTGTTCTGCTCCTGTAAAGATTTACAGCTTTAGAAACCTTATACTCGGTCACTGTGTCTCAATGGCAGTGGGTTTTGTAATGAGCAAACTAATATACCGATTCTGGGAATCCCAGAAAAAGACAAGAAAGAGAAAGAATATTCTAAGAAGTAACAGTGAAAATCTTTCTGATCTGATGAAGGCCATGAATCTACAAACCCAAGAAGCTTTACACACTAAACTGGATATATGTAAAGAGATCTATATCGAGGCACAATATAAACAAACTTTCAAAAACCAGACATAAAGAGACAATTCTAAAAGTAGCAAAAGAGCAGCAGAATGTCACATAAAGAGGATCCCCAGAAAATTAAATATTGATGTCTCTCTTTAGAAACACTGGAGGTTGGAGGCAGTGGAATGACATATTTGAAATGCTGAAATAAAACAATTGTTTAACAAGAATATAGGCAAAACTCTCCCTCAAGAATGATGGTGAAATTAAGACATTCTTAGATAAACACAGAACTGGGCAGTGTTTCATTCTGTTGTGCATAGGATCACTGTGAGTCGGCACTGACTCGATGGCACCAAACAACAGCACATAAAAGCTGAAAGTGTTTGCTACCACTGTTATTTTTAAGTGGTGTTGAGTTGGTCCTGACTCATAAAGACACAGGGTATCATTTATAAGACTATAAATCTTTGCAGGAACAGAAAACCTTATCTTTCTCCATGGAGCGGCTGGTGGACTTGAGCCATCTCCCTTGTGGTTCACAGTCCAGTGCTTATTCTATAGAGCCACTGTGCTCCTCTTGCTACCACTAGGTGTCTGAAAATAAAATCAAAATAGAGTTCACCAGATGGAAAGGAAAGGACACACTAGAGAACAATTCAAAGCTGTACAGAGGGAAAACAAGGAAAGGTCACTAACATAGGTAATTTCATGGACAAATCTCAGGGCTAGTTTTAGGGTATTTTGGTCAATAATTCTAGCTATGTCCATCATGCTTTATTATGACACATGAAAACACGAACAATGATAAGCATACATTTATTGTACAGAGTACCCTGGCATAGTGCTATAAGATAAGCACTGAATTGCTAATTGCATGGTTGGTGGTTTAGACCAATCAGATGCTCCTTGGAAACACTATATCGGGTCACTGTGAGTCAGAAGTGACATATCGGCACTTAACAACAACATACAAGAACCGAGGGAGAAGTGGTATAGGAATAGAGCCTTTACATGTTACTGAAGTTATGTTGGTAGAAATTTAAATCATGTTGTTATAAATGTAAGATGTTAACTGTAATCCTTTTGTAGTCACAAAGAAAATATCTAAAAAATACATACACAAAAGGAAAGGAAAAGGGAATCAAAATGGTTTCTACAAAAAAATTTTAAAAATTAGCAAAACACAAGTGCTGAAGGAAATGAGGAACAAAGAAGGTACAAGATACACAAAAACAAATAGCAAAATGGTAGAAGTAAGTTTTTCCTTATCAGTTAACTACCAGAAAGGTAAAAAACCCAAATACTCCAGTCAAAAGACAGAAAGTGGCAATATGGATAAACATAGAATACAAATCACAAATAGGTTACAAGTAAAAGAGAGGAAAAAACTTAACTGAAATAGCAACTAAAAAAAAACTGGCGTGGAGATTTTAATATCAGCTAAAACAGATTTTAAGTGAAAATCAACTATAAGAGACAAAGAAAGAGTTTACATAACGATGAAGGTTAAATTCACCAAGAAGATATAAGAATGGCAAAGTATCATAGAACAATCACCTAAAACTGGCTAACATCCAAATATATAAAGCAAATACTGACGAAACTGGAGGATGAAATAGTTCTACAATAATAGTTGGGAGATGGTAATATACCACTTTCAATAATGAACAGAACATCTACAAAGAAGTTTAATAAAGAAATAAGTCAAACACACACACAAAAAAAACACAAGTATTGTTATGTTCTTACTTATGTGAAACATCTAGAATAGGCAAATACATAGAGGCCAAAGTTCATCAATGGCTACCAGGGTTGTGTGATAAAGAAGTAGGGTGCGTATTGTTTAAGGATTACAGATATTTTGTTGTTTTTGTTGTTGGGTGTTACTGAGTTAGTTCCAACTCACAGGGACCCTCTCTAGGGTTTCCAAAGAGCAGCTTGTTGGGTTTGAACTGCTGACGTTGTGGTGACCAGTCCAGTGCTGATCCTATAGTGCCATGCCAGAGATTTTGTTAAGGTCAAGGTGAATAAAAAGAAAAGAAAACAGATAATGGTGATTGTTGCACAATATACTAAATGCAATTAAAGTCACTGAATTGTACATGTAAATATGGCGGAACTGTTTTGTTACATAGGTTTCACCACAATTTTATCAGGCTACCATTGCCATGCACCTCACCAAAACACTGCCATGCCAACCTGCCTCCCCATCGCTTTCCCTTCTTACCCAACTCTCTCTCAGTATGTTCCCGATTTCTCCCATGCTTCTCCCTTTCTTTTCTATTATTACATTGTCTTCTTTTGAAATTCAATATTTATTGTGGTGAAAGATGGCTATGGGAAGGCTATAGAGAAAGCTATGGGAAGTAAGTTGACATTTTAATGCTTTGGTGAGGTATACTGCCAAACCTCCAGATAAATGACAATAGCATTCTAATAAAACTCTCATCAGCAACAAAGTTAAAAGAAAGAACAATAGCCAGAAAAAATATTTAAAAATTTTCAGACAGACTGATGGAAGAAATCAAGAATGAAGGGTAGCAATGGTAGTGATAAAGTAGACTGTTGCTGTTTCTTGTTCAAGTGCTGTCTACTCAGTTCTGACTCATGTAGGGCTTCTGAAGACCAGGTGGTGGGATTGACTCGCCAACCCTGCAGTTGGTAGTGCAGTGCTTATTCTACAGTATCACACCAAGACTGCTAAAGTGGGAAAGTTAACTTATATTTTAATAATAATCAGGGCAAACAGTCTAGGGTACACTATTTTTTCTCATTTTAAGACCAATACAGAGTTACTAACACTTGTTTGATTAAGCAATAATTTGTGTAATCATAAGAAAAAAAAAAAAAAAAAGATTGTATACCATCACCATAATTTATAAAATAAAGGATGTTTTAACACATTATAAAGAGGATTGTTGTTGTTAAGTGCCATTGAGTCAGTTCCGACCCATAGCAACCCTGTATAGGGTTTCCGAGGAGCCGCTGGTGAGCTTGAACCACTGACTTTGCAGTTCAAGCAGGTTTGCAGTCTGGCGCATTGACCCACAGCGCCACACCAAGATTCCTAGACTCTCTGAATTAAGAGTTGTTGTTGTCGTTCTTAAGTGACGTCAAGTCGGTTCCGACCCATAGCAACCCTGTATAGGGTTTCTGAGGAACTGCTAATGAGCTTGAAGCGCCGACTTCGCAGTTCAAACGGCTTTGCAGTCTGACGTGTTAACCCCACAGCGCCACACCAGGGCTCCAAATTAAGGGTAGTCTTATATAATATGAATACATTAGCCCTATGAAAAAGTTATTGCTAAATCCATATTGATTTATTTTTTATTTTGCTACCAATCAGTGATAGATCTAAAGATTCGAATAATTTTTATAAAAGAACTATTATCTGGGAATGACTATGTGAATTTCTGTGGCGGACCTGCTTCCCAAGTCCATAAAATAACACAGAAATACAGAAAATATGTGGGTCATGGTTTCACCTGAGTTTGAAGCCATTCTCAGCAGAGATTCATATTTTTTTTCCTTAGCATAATTCATTTTGAAATACATGACTATTTGAGGCATAAGATTATTTCACCTGCTTCATGTATACAGGGAAGGGAAGGGGCTTCAAAAAGGTCATGGAAAAATGGAATCAAAAGATAATTAAATTTTTCACAAACTTTTTGAAGACCCCTTCACACATTCATTATCCACCGTCTTTTGACTTTAAGAGCTGCTAATCAAAGAGTGTGTCTATTGTATATTCATTATGGTATTGATCCAGACTACTCCTTACAACTGACAAGAATAATTAAAGAGATTAGGGTACAAATTGTAATCCAGTATGCAAAAATAACATTTTGAATAAGCCATGAATAATTTTAAGATGAAATGACACAAACTCCCAGGGTCTGACCTTCAGTGACAAAGCTGTAGTCTTTGACATGAGTTATTTTCGTCACCATTTTTTCTTGTACTTGACCTTGGACATCTGATTCTACAAGGGTACACTGTGGGGTTACAGGAACATGTTCTTTGGAGGCTGGAGATTGTCCCTTTTCTAACAATAGATGAACCACCTGCAAAAATGGAATAACACTTTGTTAATGAAGATCAATGATAAGAGAATTGGTATATTTTGAGGGCTTAGTATAATTGATGATATAAAACCATTTAAAGTAACAACCTGGCCCACACAATATAGTTGGCAGGGGGAGATGTGGAAAAAAGCAAGTGATCAAGCTTTCAAAATTAAACTTATATTATTATCTGTATAAAAAGGTAACTTATTGGAAATAAAAGTCTGTCACAAAATTAGCCTAGTCATTTTATAGAAAATTTGTATACTAGAAAAGAATCGCCACTATACTACCATATAAAAACCATAATAAATAATTGGCCAAACTTCCTAAGAGGAATTTAGTATTTAGGTTAAAAAATTACTGGAATTAAAAATCACTTGTAACTGGTAAATGTTAATGAATAAATGGAAAAAAATATATATATAATCTCAACCCCACTTCTCAAGTAATCAGTGGCAATATTAGTGCTAAATGAGATAATAAAAAAATCAGCTTCTTCAATCAAAACCTCTTGTTTTTTGCTCTTCAATTCAAAAGGAAAAAAAAAAAATCTCAGAATGTTATAAAAATGTGGCTTGGTTTTCTGTTTAACAAATTTAGAGCTCTCAATTAGACTTATATTATTCATACATTATTATGCCTTTCTAAGTGAGCTTGAAAGGTTGGTATCTGTTACCTGTCCTGTATTCCTCAATGTTTCCACAGCTTGCTTATGAGTAGCCCCTTCTAGACTAACTCCATTGACAGACAGGACCCGATCACCTGGATATAATTCATAACAAAGCAAATAATCAAATTAACAGCAATTCTACATGCTCCTTCATACCTCATGGGCTTATTTTGTATTAATTTGAGGAAAGACTGAGACAAATTCTGGACAAACTTGACTCAGTGTCTTTTTTTAATATGTTATTTAAATTCTTTCTTCCATCTATGGCTTAATTTCAGAGAAATAACCTTATGAAGATCAATTTAAATCATAAGAAAAGAAATAGAACTATAACTGTAGAGAGTTGGACAGAACTCCCTAGTTCCTGTTAGAAAAGTAGATATTACAAGGGCACTTTCCCTCCCCCATATTCCCTGGCAACCTGCTTCTTAGAAAGTGTAAAGCATTAATAAAAATACTGTCTAGTTATTTTTTGATATAAGAAGGATTTTGGAATAGCATCAAGATAATAATTTCGCACATCTATAGGTCAGCAGTTCAAGCCTATCAGACACTCCTAAGAAATGCTATACAGGGTCTCTATGAGGCAGAACTGACTTGACAGTACTTAACAACAATTTCTTACTTATCAATTACCTCAATATCTGCCAGTTTGCTTTTATGACAATAGTAAAATATTTACTATTTGACTATTTTTTGATTAATGATGTGTATTTGGAGTAATGAATGCTGAGGTGAGAGATGAGAGTCACACTGGCTGTTATGGCCAACCATATATTTCAACTTGGCTGGGCCATAATTTTCCAGGGTTTGGCTCTTGCGTAATGATGTAATTTGGAAGTTAAGTAATGAAGTCGTCATCTTCCATTTTGTGATCTGATACAGTTATCTCCTCCACTTTTGTGCAATGCCTATTTTTGCAAAATGACCTGGTCTTTGAAACCTAACCATGATAAATGAGGAGTCAGTGTTATTTCATATTATGAACTGAAGATCTAGATCAACTTTCAAATTTCTTATTAATTGAATATCCATGCAGATAATTTCTACCCATATAAATACTATACCTTTGTGTATTCTACCATCAGATTCAGCCGCTCCCTTGGGAATAACAGCCTTCACATAAATGCCACCATGTCTGACACTAGTATTTACACCTCCCTAAGTAGAAAAAGACAGATAAAATTTGTTAAAATGAACATTTTTACCCATCTTCTTTCAAATCTGTCACCTAGAGAACTTTCAAGTCATCAGCCAAAGTAGCAGTATCAAGTTAGCATAGGAAATTATTTCAATATCCACAGAGATATTCTAATGAATCTTTTCAAATGTCAAATTTTTAAATAAGAAAATTACATTTTAAAATAGTAATTTTCTATTAAATTATTACAGCATGCTAGATCTTAACTACGTGAGGAATTCTTTTTGTTTTGTAAGTCTAGATCATGCATATAAGCAAGCAGAAAGCAAAACCTACCCATGCAAAATTAACTTGATAACATAACTATCAGGACAAAATATACAAGGGGATTTCAAAAAATTCATGGAAAATTGAATTAAAAGATAGAACTTTTTCCACAAACTTTTTCAAGCTCCCTTGTATATGGAATAATAATGCTTCACATCATATTTACTAATTTTAAAGCAAATTATATCAATCAAAGAAAAAGATGTTTTATTTTAAAACAGTCTGGTAGAGAAATTAATTTATGGTGTAGACAAAATCTAATGAGTGGAGTTACACTCTGTTGTGGTCATATACACTTTACTTCCCTTCACAAGAGGAAGGCAACAAAAATCTAAAGAAATTTAGGGCAAAAGAAAAGAGTCACAGTATTTTTAAATGTACTAGAAAGATGGTGGCTGTGTGCCGTGGAGTCGGTTCCGACTCACAGCGACCATGTACAGGGTTTCCGCGGCTGTAAATCTTTACGGGAGCAAAACACCTCATCTTTCTCCTGCGGAACAGCTGGTAGTTTTGAACTGCTGACCTTGTGGTTTGCAGCCCGATTCATAACCACTAGAAAGATAGGTTTTCTTTTTGATCGCAATATTTTATAAGTTAAATGCTGTGTGACACAAATGGTTATGCACTTGACTATTGCTGCAAGGTTGATAGTTCCAATCCACCTGGTGGTATCACATAAGAAATATCTGATAATCTACAAGATCACAGCCTTGAAATCCCTACGGAGCAGTTCTACTTTGTACTAGAGTTGGAATTCATTTGATGGCAACCACAACAAATGGTATTTCAAAATGGCTTTTTATAACTAACATATCATTTCAAATGGGATAAATAATAATATTGTAATTCAGGGTCTAGTATCCTGGTATGGTGCTGTAGGATAAGCACTGGACAGCTAACCCCAAGGTCAGCTGTTCAAACCCACCAGCCACTCCTTGGAAACCCTATACAGGGTCATTATGAGTCAAAACTGACTTGATAGCACTTAACAATCATAACAGTGCCTTCCTATGTGAAATTCTTAAGATTATTTTGTCAAATAGTCTATGCTAATATTTAACAACCTTACAGTTATATGTTTTCCTAGGAAGCCTCAAAATTTTTAATTCTAGACATGTTTACAAAATAGTTTATGTTCTGCAGAAATAAAGGGCATATTAATATATATAAATCCTCCACTATTCACGATGTAGGTAGAAGATGTATCACTTCATTATTCCATGTTCATGTAAAAGCTGTTAAATATATAGGAAGCATAATTATTAATTTTATAAGTCCTATAATCAGACTGAATAAATATGAAGCTCATGGAGGAAAAAGTAGCAAGTGTCTAATTTTTTGGACTACAAGAAAAAATGACTGACATACACAATTTAAAAAAACAAGATTTTACACATGAGTCCATTTTTAAGTTTTGGAAATATCTGACAAGTGTCCATTTTGAAGCAAAATGATTCAATTAGTAAGTTAGCATACAATCGTCTGCTGGAAATGGAGAAGAGAAAACATTTGAAAACCTTGTCAAACAGTACCGTGACACTTAGCCCCAAGCTGTTATCATTTTTAGCCAGTTCAACCTCAAAGATATCTCCAGGTTTAGGAGGTGATGAAGAAAAAGTTTTAAAACTCATTTTGTTTGATGTATTCAGTGAGGAGGAGGGTTCCTTAACAAAGAAAGAAAGAAAACAAAAACAAAAACAACAACAAAAAAAAAAAAAAAAGAGAGAACAAAAAAAAAAAAAAAAAAAAAAAAAAAAAAAAGAAAAAGGATTTCTTGTTAGAGTCCAAATGAATCAGTATTGGAAGGCCAATATGTTATTGGAAATTTAAAAATATCAAAACAAGGTATTAAGGACAGAGTGACTTCAAAGAACATGATAGTTGGAAGAGATCTTAGAGATCATTGAGTCCAACATCAACATATTTTATGGTTGAGGAAACTGAGGCCCAGAAACAGAAGGGCTTGCTCTTGATCAAACAGCTAGCTATATACGGCAGAAAGTAGCCTGGATCTCAGTTCAAACCAGGCTTTTATATAATCATCATCCAATGCTTTTTATGGTCCCAAATTTGGAAAGAATTTCAATTTCCCTTAAAAACTAGTATCAAGTGGTAGCCATCACCTTAAGAAACCCCGTCGGTACAGTGGTTTAAGTTCCTGGCTGCTAACCAAAAGGTTAGAGGTTTGAACCCACCAGTCACACCACTGGAGCAAAGACATGGAGATTACTGTTGTTGTTAGGTGTCATCAAGTTGATTCTGACTCATAGCGACTTCAAGCACAAGAGAACAAAACATTGCCGCAGGGTTATGCGCCATCCTCACAACTGTTGCTACGCTAGAATCCAATGTTGTGCCTCTGTGTCAATCCCTCTCATTACAGCCTAGGAAACCCTTAGGCAGTTTTACTCTGTCCTATGGAGTCCTGGTGTGACATTGTGGGTTAATGCATTGGACTGCATAGTTAGTTTGAACCACAAAGTCGGTGACTCAAACTCACCAACCACTCCTTGGAAACCTTTTACAGGGTCGCTATGGGTCGGAACTGACTCAACGACACTTTACAACAACAGGGTCCCTATTAGTCCGAGTCGACTCTATGGCACAAAACAACAAGCTATCACCTTGTGTCTCGAAGATGAGCAAGCTTCATATTTGCTCTTATGTTTACAAATCCAACATAAACAGATAATGCAAATGTAGGATTTACTTAAGCATCTTTCACTCAGTAGGAAAAAGGTCTGCTATTTTTCAAATTTGAGATGTATCATTTAATTTATATATGAATGTTAAGCAAGTTTTCTTTCTTAATAGTACCTTAATAGCGCTTTTTGTCAATGAAGCTGAGAAGTAACTACCATATATATAAAGGACTATATAAATGAGCAGAAGTTAAACCCCAATTATAAGGGCATAACTCTCTTGTCAGGAATACTGTGTTTTCAGTGAATAAAGGGCATAAAAGTTCCTTTCTGAAACTGTTTGTGAATGTGAATTTAAATTCATATTATTTCTAGGAAAGTTTCCTGAGAAACCTCTTTGGGAAACTGTACAATGTTGTTATTATTAATTCAGAACTTTAGATAGATTTGGCAAAGTTAATTGTCCACCGAAAGAACTATTAGGAGCAAATTTTTTTTAAAGATACTTAAGCAATCTTATTAATATAAACATTACGTACTAAAAGAAAAAAACAACCTATAAGAAGACAGTTTGATTCTCTCTTTTGTGTTATCAGGTGGTGCGTTCCCAGAATAATAGCTATTTTACAGTTAGTATTTAAAGCTTCTAATTCTCTGAAAAAGCATCACATGCAGTAGCGGTTAGTAGCAGTAGATACAAAGTATTCCTCTTATAAGTAGCTTATCATAACTGTTTCTATGCTATAATATTTTTGTTGGTGTTTTATGCTACTAAATGAAAAACAAAAGATTAAAATTCACTATGCCTTTTTTGATGTTTGATGATCCTGACTGCTCGAATAAGTAGCTTCATCCATGTCTGAATCACCCCGATCTGAGTAATCTGTCACATCAAAAATGCCTGGTGTTTTAGCTTTGCTTCGGTTATTGTCAACGGAAATTCTCTTGTTCTCAGAAGCTTTGGATATTACAGATGAAGAAGGGCTCCCATGCTGTGACTCCTTCCAAGTTCGGTCACCTCCATGGCTGGCAAAGAAGCCATTGATCTGGCTCTGGTACAAGCTGGCACTCTCGGTTCTAGAATCCTGAGAACTCAGGCTTCCTTCCCGTAGGCCCACAGGTGGCCCACATGAGCTGTCTGTAACGTGCCTCAGGGTACCAGGTGGCCAGCTACGATCCACAGAAGAATCTACAGCATTGTCTTGTAGGTAGGAAGGTTTCTTCATGTAGTTTTTCATTCCATTGGCAAGATGCACGGGAGTAGAAGGCACTAAAAGTTACAATCAACGAGAATAACAAATTAGTAGTACACATGTGTGACTTGCACACATACGCAATCTCAGTTGCAGAACAGATACAAAGCAAATGCACTAGATCCATGACTTGAAACTACAGCAGGGACCCAGTAAATTTGGATTCGATCTTTTTTTGTTTCCTACTTTGGTTATTTTTGTGGCAACTCTTATTGTAATGGCGATACCTCTCACATAAATTCCTTTATATCCATCTTCCAAAATCATTTCATATCAGTCTCTGCAAAGACGTAGCTGGTTTCCTATCCAGAACTATATTTTAAACATTGTTGTTATGTGCCGTGGAGTCGGTTCCGACTCATAGCGACCCTGTACAGGGTTTCTGAGGCTTTAAATCTTTACAGGAGCAGAAAGCCTCATCTTTCTCCTGCGGAACAGCTGGTAGTTTCGAACTGCTGATCTTGCAGTTCACAGCCCAATTCGTGACCAGAGCTCCTTAAACCTATTAATACAGGTAGCTAAAACTTACATTTAAGTGCTTTATATGTGCCAGGCAAAGCACCATGCCAATTCTTTACATTTATGATCTCATTTATCGTCCTCATCTGTAAGATAGGCATTTATACATTCACTATTTGATATATGAGCACATTAAGGCTTAGAGAATTCATGTGATTTGCTCAAGGTATAGTAAAGAAGACTATGACCCTAGGTAGCCTGGTTCTGGAGTCCTCCCTATCCTATTGCTCCACACACACTGGTTGTACTTTTGTCACAAACAGTGCCCCACCACTGGACACTCAAAAGAAATCTGGAACAGAGGGCAGACTTTGTTGTTTTTACCTTAAGAAACTCCCACAAACCAACAATAACAAAGAAAACTATAACTCAAGAGTACTTAAGTCTTGTACTTAAGGCTTGTAAGTAGCATAAACAGAAAAGTCAGATCTTCTGATCTTTGTCTCAAGTACCTTTCTTACACAACATGTTAATGGCAGGTACTATTTTAGAGACAAAATGGTTTGGTGTTTTTAAGTTTATGGTTTCTTCTTGTTTATCTTTTCCTTTTTGAAACCTGGTTCATGATGCTGTTGTTGTTGTTAAGTGCCATTGAGTTGGTTCCAACTCATAGTGACCCTATCTAGAGTTTCCGAGGAGGGGATGGTGAATTTGAACCGCCAACCTTGCGGTTCAAACTGACTTTGTGGTCTACTGCTTATTCTACAGTGCCACACCAGGAAGTCATGATAGTACTTCATGTAAAGTCATGATTGTTGTTGTGTGCCACTGAGTCAATTTTCACTCAGCAACACTGTATGGGTGTTTGGAGGAGTGGCTGGTGAGCTTGACCCACCAACCGTGCAGTTCAAACAGACCTTGATGTTGAGTGCTTATCCTACAGCAACACACCAGGACTCCATGAAGTCATGATGATGTTGTTATGTGCCGTGGAGTTGGTTCTGACTCATAGCGACCCTATACAGGGTTCCCAAGGCTGTAAATCTTTACGGGAGCAGAAAGTCTCATCTTTCTCCCATGGAACAGATGCTAGTTTCAAACTGCTGACCGTAAGATTAACAGCCCAATTCGTAACTACTATGCAACCAGAACTCCTTTGAAGTCATGATTGTTGTTGTTATGTGCCCTGGAGTTGGTTCTGACTCATAGCAATCCTGTACAGGGTTTCCGAGACTGTAAGTCTTTGGTGATGGTGGTAGTTATGTGCCGTGGAGTCGGTTCCAACTCATAGCACGACTCATAGCGACCGTGTACAGGGTTTCCAAGGTTGTAAATCTTTACAGGAGCAGAAAGCCTCATCTTTCTCCTGCGGAACAGCTGGTCGTCTCGAACTGCTGACAGTGAGATTAGCAGCCTGATTCATACATAATGAAAATTATTTCTCACTTGATCTAAAAAGTAGATGGAACACACCAAATATTTAAAATTTATTCCAGTGACATCAATTTTGCAAAATGAAACTGTTTTTATGTATATGTCACTAAGAAGGAATGAGACAGACAAGCTTGGAAGGCATGAAGTGAAAAAGTTATACTGATGCAGAACTAAGAATTACATATTAACAAATTCTCCAGAAAGGAGACATTTATACAGACATTCTTGTGTAAAGTGAACTATAACACATAACTAAGCAACACTTAAAACTTTACCTTTGGATATTTTTTCTTTCGGCTGAGAAATAACAAGTGTCACATCTTCAGGTGCATTTTGCAAAATTTCAGTTGCAGCATGGTGGCTGACCCCCTCCAGACTCACACTATTCACAGATATCAAACGGTCCCCTACAAGGAGACAAAGACTTTTATCAATTCAGCATTTTCAACACAGAGAAACACATGCTAAATCTTGGCAACATTATCTCCTTCTGTACTTTTTTCTCCTTAAGTTTTATTTTTGCCATCTGTGCAAATTCATGCCTGTCAGTAAGCACTTAGGAAATTCCCAAAAGGTCAATTACCTGGTTTCAAGCATCCATGCAAGTCAGCTGGTCCTCCAGGGGTAACTGAGCTGATAAATACACCTAGATCCAGTCTTCCCATCTTCTCCCCACCAATAACTTGAAATCCTATGAAACAGCACCTTTTAATAAGATCTCCATGATACCAGTGCTTTCAATAACTAAGGATTAGCAATTCTGCTTGAAACAGAATTGTGGAGCCTCTCTACAGTAAATACGGTAACTCCTGTGCGGTGGAACTACTTGTTGAATTTGCTCAATGTCAATCAAATGATTGCTTGTAGGCATTTCTTTGGCATTTCCTGACAAGTCAGTTAGGTTGATGGGGTTGGGGGTTTGCAATAGTATCTTGACCAGGCTGGGCTCTCGGTGCCAATGTCTGGATTATATACATTTTCTCTTTGTATTCTCACAGTCCTTTAAGAATCCCACAGTGACTTACCTAAGCCATATTTTGCATCTTTTTTCAGGTTCACCAAGGTGATCTCCCTTTCTGGTGAGGACACAATGCTCCATCTCTTGTGTAGCACATCTACTGGGAATTTATAATTTAAAAATAAGTACATATGCTCAAACATTCAGACTGTCAGCATGTTCCAACTGAAATGTTAACAAGGCTTGCTAAGAGACTGTTCACTTAAAAAATGTATTTTAAAGGTGTATCATCTTAAATTTCCACAGTGACATTCAGTTTATAAGATAACTATACCTCTCAGATTTATTCTTCATAAAATGTTTCCTGTGAAATAAGCATATTTCAATTCCAAATGACTTAAATAAATCTCAAGAGGTTAAATGATTTGAGTAGGTTTACTTAGCTAATAAGAAGTCTTGAGAGTCTAGAAAATTCCAAGCTAGGCTGCTAACTGCAAGGTCAATAGAAGCTACTATTCACTCCATAAAAAAAAGATGAGGCTTTCTGCTCCTATAAAGATTTACAGCCTCGGAAATCCCATACAAGTTTGTTATGAGTCAGAAACGACTCGATGGCACACCATCACTTAACTAGTACAGGGAATTACTGAATCTTAAACTTAAGTTTTCTTATCTTGTGTCTCCTTCTGTCCCTGTTAGCATAGCGGGTTACACACTGAACTGCTACCGTAAGGTCAGCAGTTCAAATCCACCACCTGGCTCCATGAGAGAATGATGAGGCTTTCCGATCCCATAAACACTTACAGCCTCTGAAAACCTACACAGGGTCACTGTGAGTTGGAACTGGCTTGATGGCATGCAACAGTAACAGCAGCGAAATAAACTGAATGTCTGCAGTAGAACTAGAATTTACTTTTTCTTGTTTCCACTTAGGTTAAATATATCTATTTATCTAAATAGGCTAACCATTCAGAAATATCCCCTTAACTAATAAATATGTCATTTAATTGCCTTGTTAATAGAGTTAATTCTCCTACTTCCTATTTAAATACATGTGCACATCCAAACACAAGATTCTTAAAGTCAATTAACAATTTGATCCTTCAAACTGGTCTGCATATGAAGGTGGTAGTATTGGCCATGAGTGACTTCAACACATTCATAAAGATATTTTTGAAAGTTAAATATTCAAATTCAACTCCATACTGTGATTCTAGCCATATTACAGCTTTCTGAAAATAGAAGATCATAGCTTCACTAACATGTAAATCAGGATTTCCTTAAGCCTTTATATGTATTTTTATAACAACCAAACCACTATGACACAGACTTTATTCCTGTACTTGCCAACCCATGATCCCCTGATTAAAAAAACAATTATTCTAACGTGTTATTAAAACACTAATAAATTTGCTAGGTAGCGTGTATTACATGTGAATGGAATAGTTCATATTCTAAAAATAATCTTTCATTTCAGAAAACAGTAACAAAAATCACTCATTCTCAAGAGTTAATTGATATTAACTTTGTCCCTCAAGCGTCATTTTAATGCAAGTTTGCCAGTTTGATCTAAAATGATGCTTGCACTAAAATAATATTAAGAGAGGGTTTCAAAAAGTTCAAGGAAAGATTACATTATCTTTTAATTCCATTTTCCACAAACTTTTTGAAGTTCCCTGATAGAATCTAGTCACTAAGAAGCAATCCGTTTTCTAATATATTAACTAGCCCTTCAGTATTTTTAATAACTTCATTAATGCAGTTCCAAAAAATATCAGTAGACAACGGTGTACAGAACCTTATATGTTGGATAGTGTTAAGCAGCAAAAAGCCCATCATTATTTAATCCCTAGTAGAATGAAATTAACTTAGTTAATTTATCCTAATTTAGGCAATTAATTCTAATTTTCAGCAAGAACCAAACCAAGGCTTTGAACTGGTTCTTCCTGGTTCAATCATGGCTGACGAAAGGAAACTGGAGCAAATCCTAATTTAGAACAACGGGAATGGGAAAATTATGGGTCAAAGTCCTGCTAGAGACTTATTCTCCTTCTGAGAGAGCAAGGGCAAGCCTGAATGCTGGATAGTGACCAAATCTCTTTAAACAGCAGTTTCCCACCCAAAGATGGCCGCCGACTACAGTGATTTGAATGTGGGTATTCTCCACTGGCAATAATCCTATCTCCTGAAATAGGATCCTGAAAGGGCTTACTACACCGAGTGTCCCACTTCAGACCTCCGACTTGTTATTTTTCCCACTCTGGCTATTGTTTTGCTCCACCCAAAGTTTAAATTTGGGGATCTGTTCTGACTTTGCTGTATCAGCCATAACAGAATCAATTCAAACTGGTTCAAAGTCCTGAACCAAACACAAAATAAAAGAGAACAAAACCCCTCCAAAAGAATTAAACAAGGGAGTAAGGTCAGGGTAGAAACTGAATTCAGTATGGTTTTGAATTCAGTATGGGACCACATTTGTGAGGTGGTATGAGGGAATAGTTCAAAGTACTTTGTAAAGTGATTAGAGAATGATTGTTTTGAGTTCCTATTTCTTTAGATTTAAGCACCCACTGCTGATGAAATTAATTACTCTGTGGTACTTAAGAAGTTCTGAGGCTCATAGTTTTGTAGGAAACCAAATTCCTATGCAGTACAGATAGAAAAAAGGAAAGCAGCATCAGGAGAAAATAGCTTAGGGCAAATAATAATTCCAGATTTGGTACGTTTCTCACCCTAACTAAGGAGTAGGAGTCCTGGTGTGGGGTTGGAGAATAAGCAATCAACCATAAAGTCTGTTTGAACTACAAGGTCAGAGGTTCAAACTCACCAGTTGCTCCTTAGAAACCCTATACTGGGTCACTATGAGTCGGAACCGACTTGACAGCACGTAATAACAACTAAGGATTTGTTGTTAGTTACCGTAGATTCTGATTCAGTGACGCCACGTATGCAGGGTAGAAGTTCACCTAAGGACAGAGGGGTACATAATCTTGCTAGGTTTCGCGTAGCTTTTGTAAACATAATGTTGAAAAGTCAATTGGCTTTAAACAGAGTGTATTTGCCCTCAATTATAAAACTGATCAATATTCTTGAGGTTGCTATGGAATACAGATGGTCTTTCAAAGAATAAGAATGCCATTTTCTTCCATTTACAACACTAATACTAACAGGACTGGCTATTTGTGTTACTTGTCTAACTAATGAATGCGTGTGTACAAATATTTTTATGTGTATTTCCAGACCCTGGAAAAGGACATCATTTTGGAGAAGCAGAGAGTCACTCAAATAAAGGAAGACCCATAACAAGATGGACTGACACAATGGCCGTACAAAGGGCTCAAGCATAGTGAGGACTGTATAGGGCTGAGCAGTACTGTAGATAGGGTCACTGTGCATTAGAACTGACTCAACATCATCTCCCAACAACACAGCATTTTATTTCTCTAGGCTCCATGGGGGTAAGCCCTGGCAATATGGTCCTGTACAAATTATAGCTAAGAAACCCCTATTGGGGCAATTCTGTGTCACATGGAGTCACTGTGAGTTGGAGTGGACTTGACGGCATTAAAAACAGAGTAGCAACAGAGTAAGTTCTGTATTAAATGATTCATCATTAAGATTTGAGCATTCATTTATTGACTCAATTATTCTTCCATCCTTCAAATATTTACTAAGCCACTTTTCTGTCAAAGTCCCTCACTAGGCTCTTTGGGAAAACAGAACGAGATAATGTATCTAAAAGCTACTAGCACAATAAATGAGAGGTAAGTCACATTAGCAAAGATAAAGTCTACTATTTAGATTGCTGCATTACAAGGCATGAGTCAGACCTTTAAGAAAGGCCCTAAGAAAGAGTTCTGGTGTGGCTCTGTAGGATAAGCACTGGGCCAAAAGGTCGAATGAACCTCAGTCATCAGTTCAAACTCACCAGCTGTCCTTGGAAACCTATCCAGGATCGCTCTGAGTTGGAACCGACTTGACAGTACTTACCAACAACAGCCAGAAGTGCTACAGCATTTAGGAGAGGGGTGAATCTTCCTGCTAGAAGTAAAGGGGAAGACTTCGAGAAGCAGGGTAGGATTTTAAAGAAGTAGACTATGGTGATGATTATACAGCAAATCAGGCACTAGCCAAAGCTGAGATGGTAAGAAGATAGAAATGTTCTGGGGAAACATCATAGACCAGTTTGACTAGAGTCTAAGAGTTGGATAAATGCTTAATTGAAAGGAAAGCTTGGCTAGTCCACTCTTGTAATAGTAGTATCTCCTTCTCCACCCCTGCCCCAGTCTTGGTGGAGTAAGGTGACTTGTAATGTGAAGACAAAAGGAAGAAAGGGTGTTGGTGCGTGGCTAAGTGTTACTAAGCAGGGCTGTGCATGTACTGAGTTTCTATTTATCTTGGTATATTCTCTTTACAAAGGAGATGCTCAAAATACTTCTCCAATTAGTTTAAAATAAGTGGGAGTGGACTTACCTGAGTGTACATGGTACATGAAAACCAAAGTAAAATGAAAGGCATTTATAGAATTCAATGAAGATCAAATAGAATTTATGAATCTCTGAAACTGAGACAGCTTGGTATTTCAAGTACCGAAATATTTCTGTTATTTTAATTATTACTAAATGGAAATAAGCATGAATGCTCAAATAGTGTGCATTTTGAAATGCCTGAAATAAGTTTCTTTTCTTATGGAGTCCATAACCACAGCAAAACTTGCCAAGACACACTTTAAAATGGAAAAACAAAAACTAACTCAATCCACTGCCATTGAACCAATTTCAATTTATATTGACCCTCCAGAACAGGGGAGTACAGTAGCTCCACACGATAAGCACTGGACTGCAAACCACAAGGTCTGCAGTTCAAGCCTGCCATCCAGTTGCTCTGCAGGAGAAAGATGAAGCTTTCTGTTTCCACAAAGATTTAAAGCCTTGGGAACCCTATACAGGGTTGCTATCAGTCGGAATCAACTCGATGGCACTTAACGTACAGAACAAAGAACTTCCTTATGGGAATTTTGTAAATCTTTATGGAAGTAGACTGCACATTTTTCTCCTGTGCAGTGGCTTGGGAGTTCAAGTCTCTGAAATTTTGGTTAAAGTGAGAAAAAACAAAAACAAAAATGCACCCCTAATTTGGAATTTCAAGTTCTAGTAA